GATGTTCAGTGGCTTGAAGTATAAGTCCCCAATCTTCCTTCCTTCGTGTGAGTGTTCGTTTAGAGACGGATATGCCGTGTGTGTCTTGAATATGTTTGCGGATTTCAGCGTCTGTCAGGCCAGATTCAACTAGAAGAGAAACCTCAGCCTCGAAATCGTCACCAAAAGATTGCATTGAGGCACGCATGATGGATGGTTGGTGTATGTAGTAATCTGGTGGGGTGGTCTTGAGTTGTTGGTGTGTGATCGAGTGGTTGGTGTGTGTCAAGTGGTTGGTCTGGTAGGGTCAGCAGTTGGTGAGAAGAGTGTTTCTTGAGCTCGGTTGCCAGCTGATTCATCGGTCAAAGAGCTGTGGTGTATGTGTTATGTGTTGAGGATGGTAGGTACTTTGGCTCCAGGGAGCTTATCACATAGTTTGTATGTATTGGAATGTTTGAGATGTATTGTCAGGGTGTATGACATACATGTCAGATCCACTTGGCCAACTTGGCGGTTGGAATCACTCATATTTGTTTGAAAATTGGGTTTTTCATTTTTCATTTTTTTTGGCCAAAGTGGCTGTTCAGTACCTCCATAGAAAAAAAAGGAAAAAAAAAAAAAAAATGAAAAAGAAATGAAAAAAATGTAAAAAATGTAAAAAATGTAAAAAATGAAAAAAAGAGAAAAAAAAGGGAAAAAAAGTAAAAAAAAAGTGAAAAAAAGGGAAAAAAAGGAAAAAAAGGAAAAAAAGGAAGAAAAAGGAAGAAAAAAAAAAGAAAAAAAAGAAAAAAAAAGATAAAAAAAGGAAAAAAAAAGGGAAAAAAAGGAAAAAAAAGGAAAAAAAAAAGGAAAAAAGGAAAAAATGGAAAAAAAAGGAAAAAAAATAGAAAAAATGGAAAAAAATGGAAAAATGGAAATAAAAGGAAAAATGGAAAAAAGGAAAGGAAATAAAAACGAGAAAAAAAACGAAAAAAAAAAAACAGGAAAAAAGGAAAATAAGGAAAAGGTTGAACACTTACATATGTAAGCCACCGAGTCGATATTCTGGCCACAATGAGCAAGTAAGCCAGGTGATCTTGAAAGTGGATCCCGGTGCTTTGTGTATGTGAACTTGAGCTAAAACGGAATAGATTGAAGACCAATCAGTTTGAAAGGTAAGTCATGTCTAAGAAAAAAGCAGAAGACAAACCGGCGGTGATTTCCTTGCCGTAAGCCTCGCGTTGAGCGTCCCATATATCGACTGACTGGACAATTTGGAAAAATCATAGGGACATCTATGAGCTTCGGGTTGCCATTAAAGCAAAAGAATCGGGATCGGGCTACTGACAGACTGTTAAACCGCCCATTTCATCCATGGTGCTTTGGCTAGCACCCTATAAGCTCTCGTTCGAATCACGACGACCTTCGACGATGATGTTAATCTCATACAATGATAGCCGAGCCCGGCCGTTGATGCTTTCTGACTAGCCTCGAGTGCGCTTTGGACGAACTACCGCTCGTGGCTGAATCGTTCATCCGCTGTAGAATTAGAGACCAGCTGGGTGTAACAGTCACATCGATCTTTCTAGACATTCCCCCCTCGCGTGCAGCGGATCTGGTGATAAACAGGATCCATTGTTAAATTTCTCTCAATAGTGTTTAAGGGCAAAGTTAGCCCGATACTATATTGGGGATGACCCGGGGTGACTGGATGACGTCATCAGGGCGGAGTGAACGATGCAATTCCGCACCCGATTTCCGCAGCAACATCCAGCCGCAATCTGCCGTCGGTCGGGTTGGAAGTTCGGCTCGATCAAGTCTTAACCGAAAGCAAACGATTGTCTTAGAAGGTGATATCTTCGACTAAACGATCAATTCTGTCAGCTAGCTTTCTCGAGAGATGGTAGTGAAATATAGACTTACCATCGGCAGTATCACCCAAGATGCCATACGTATCTGAAACCTGGAGACCGGATATCGCCGGGAGGTGCGATTTCTAGAGTCATAGCTGCTTATGTAGCTCAAGACACTCCTTGATCGACCTTCAGTATTAAATCAATCGAGTATATCAGACTGATTCTATGAAATATCTCGTATAGACTAGTCCGAGTCAGAACGGAATGTCAACTTGAAATTTCTCTCAAAGCGGATCGGATGAAAGGACATGCCCCGCGATGTTCAAGTCTCTTGACTGGCTGCAGAAGGGGAAAATCCTGTTTCTATCCATTGAAGCCAGATCCAGGTTGTCGGAGGGGCTGAGCGGATATACCCGCACCTTCAAGACAAATGTTGTGGTGACTCAGCGGATATGATCGCGCACCTGATTCGGGCTGGCTTGTTGAAGCTGATGCTGAAGATATCGGAAAAAAGATGAGATATAAAACAGAATGATCAATCAGAAAATCTGTCGCCGGTATGAGCTCCCTGATAAATGTGCGACTACGTACCTCAGGGCCTAGCGAACCCGTTTGCTTGATGAAAAGGAGACAACAAAATGGTGCACAAGACCGTCTCCGCTCATGAAAGCGAATTTACAATTTGTTAGAGTGGTTCAGCGGATATGCCCGCCCATGAGATACAAATACAGGTCTTCGGGGTGACTCAGCGGATATGATCGCGCACCTGGAAACTGGTGCAAAGGATTTTTTAAAAAAAAACTGAATGATATTTTGATAAAGAAAAGAATTCAGTAAATCCGTCGACTAAGTGATCAGTCTGATAGCTGTGCGAGTACGTACCACTTGGCCCAGCTTCTGTGCTTGTTGATAAAAGGGAGAAAAGATGGACGATTCACAAGACAGTCTCTTGCCATGAAAGACAGCTGAATCTTTTCGGAGTGGATCAGCGGATTGGGTTGTCGGGGTGGTTCAGCGGATATACCCGCACATAAAAGACAAAGAAGGTCTTTGTGGTGACTCAGCGGATATGATCGCGCACCTGATTCGGGCTGGCTTATTCCTCAAGCTTCAAACTGATGCTAAGGATATTAGAAAAAAGATTGGATACGAAACATAACAATTCATCAGCAAATCTGTCGACCACGTGGAGTGTCTAATAACTGTGCGACTACGTACCTCATGTCCCAGCCAACCAGTTAATTTGATTCAAAGCAGACACCAAAATGCTGGAAAAGACCGTCTCCGGCCATGAAAACCAAGTTTAGGTTGTCGGAGGGGCTCAGCGGATATACCCGCAAATAAAAGAAAAATGAGGTTCTTTTTGGTGACTTAGCGGATATGATCGCGCACCTGGCTCGGGCTGGCTAACTAGTCATGCTTGAAACTGAGAAGAAAAACGAAGAAGTCAGAGGAAAACAAGATAATCGATCAGCAAATCTGTTGACCGTATGAGCTTTCTTACAACTATACAAACACACACCTCTAGATCTAGCCAACCCGTTTGTTTGATTAACGAAGAGATACCGAGATGATGTACAAGACTGTATCCACTCATGAGTTCCGGGCAGTTTTTTGGCACAGCTTAGCGGATATGCCCGCGCATGAAAGACAGATGCAGGTTTTCGAGGTGACTTAGCGGATATGATCGCGCACCTGGAGGCTGACGCAAATGATTTTCAAAAAGAAACCTGGATGATTTTTCAATTGAGAAAAGGATTATAGGTCAGTAAATCTGTCGAATTTCTGATAGCTATGAGATTACGAACCACTTGGACCAGCTTCCGAATTTTCTTTATGAGAGGGAGACACAATAAACGATCCAAAAGACCGCCTCTTCCCATGAAAGATCAGAGAGGCTTCGCGGATACACCCGCCCATGAAAAGACAAGTGGGGGTCTTTGGGGTGACTGAGCGGATACGATCGCGCACCTGGTGTGGGATTGTTCACTCGCCAAGCTGGGAAGCTGTTTCTAAGATTATTTGAAAGGGACAAAAAAAAGTGTCAGTGCATCGCGGTAAACAGCTGCGATGAATTTCTACTGCCAGTAAAAAAGAGAAAGTTTCAGCTCACAGATATGAGAAGTTGACTCCGTTGTAAAAAAAGCTCTTGTTTGGTGTGCGTGTGTGTGTTCCACCGACAAGGCGACAAGCCGGAATTGAATTGAAAAAAAGTAAAAGGGAAAAGGCTGTGTGTTGCTGCATACTTCGTTGGACACGAACAAATCAATCAATGCTATTCTAAGGGATATCTACCCGACAATGCATGATTCAGTATTGAACACTGAAGCCTTCAGATTTATCTTGTCTGGACAAGTATGCCTGTCTGGTTGGTGGCTGGATTAAAAGATCGTGGCTTTTGCGATGAAGCGAAATCCGTCTGGCAGATAAGATCATAGAGAAGACCAAGAGCCGAAGATTGCTCTAAAAAAATTTAGTAGAAAGCGCAATGGAGACAGGCAGTGGTAACCGATCGAGATGAATGGAGCATTACGCCGAAATGGACAATGCTGATACGGAGAACGTTCGTCTCATGGTCGTTTAAAAAGTATACTTGAGAAAGAGAAAAAGACTGGGATGAGCTATCGGCAATGAGTGATGAATTGTGGAAGCATAGATGATCAAAGGGATTGGGACGCTTCAAGAAAATTTACTTTGAGTCAGTTATATAGACCAAAAGCCTATGCCTCCTCTCTTGGTTGAGGTATTGCTTTGAGATAGTGCAAATGTAAATACAGAGATGGTATCAACGAGTCATCCCCTATGCTTCAGGGGGGGAGGGGGTTATGATGATGAAGCAGCGCAGTTTATACATGGAAGAACGAGAGATTTGAGAGTCCTTCGAGGAGTCATCCGTATATAATGGATGGTGAAGGTTTGATCGACTCGAGACAATGGAAGTTGGGTGGGATTGGGTGAGGGAATCGTCAAGATGGAAGTCAAAAGAGTCCAATAGACAAGGAACGCGAGTGGATGGAAGATGTAGCTTTCCAGAACCAAGTCTGAGCCGAATATGTAGTGGCGTCAAAGTTCAAGATAGAGGGAATGGGAAAAGCCCGGATAATCTCGGGGATATAAGGCAAGCAGACTGAGTGCACTGGGGATGGTTGTGCACCTTGGAGTAGCGAGCAGTCAAAGTGAAAGGCCTCAAGATTCCGATATAACGGAGAGCAGAAGTATTGTGTAGTCGTCTGCTGGAAGGGGAAGTGTCTGGAGGAGAGAAAAGTTGTGGCTGATGGGGGAAAACTCTAGCTGGGGGGTGGTTATTTATAAGTCGAACCTAGGGCGGAAAACCCGCTCAAGTCTTTGGGGCATCACTGGGGTCACCAGGACTGACGCGACCAAGCCCAATGGAACAATCCCATTCTGACCAATCCCATCGTGCGAAAGCCGGACGCGAACAGTCCGGACGCGACGTGTACTTTGGAAAATCCAAAGAACAAAGGTGGTGTTGTTTGTTTGGTGCATTCTACTTAATTCTATCTAGTATATGTTTAACTTTCCATTGATCTATGCAAAGGACTCTTTCTTTCAGCTTTGCATTGTCAGTACTTGCCGCGGTGTAGTACCGGAATCCGGGTTCTTGGTACTAGTGAAAACAAATGGTATGCAATTACTTTGCCCAGCTTTGCCCTGGGGTGCACCGCCATTCACGCCGGTGGCTATTAGTGATTCGACCCTCAGTACTCCTCGACGCCCGAACTGATGTGAAAAGTGCGTTTGCCTTTCAGGACACGATGAAGCACCACGTCGGTTCTGATTGGGAATCAAGGAGACAGTTTCACCGTCGGCCAAGTCGGAAATCCCAAGTTATTCCCAACCAATTTTATCTCTAGATGCGAGCGCTGCCGGGATACTTCTCCAGTCATTATTAGCCAATTGCCGGCATAATAGCCTAGGAGGGAGCAGCCGAACAGCGGGAGCTCCGGTACAATTGGATTCTTTCAAGCCCGAGGAAAGGCTAAAGTAACCGTATTGATCATCTAGATTCCAGACTCGGTACTACCGGACTGTAAGTCATGGTAGGTGAGATGAAGCTTGATTAGTTCAAGGATGTGGGTGGGTTTAGTTTTTCACAACCTTGACCTTTTCCAATTTCCTCTTTTTTTGTCCGGAATGGTTAACACACTCAACTTTGGGAAGGCCAGCCCAGCAGAGAGCACAAGATATATGTAACTACTTAATTGCTCATTCCTGTGCACAAAGATGAATAAGGTTTCAGTAGTATGATCCAATATAGCTGGGGGGGGAGGCTGAGGGAGGGTGTATACGTTTTTTCTTTTCACAATTGGTGCAAAAAAGGTTTGCATCACTTCTTCTGGTTTTTGGGATTTGGGCTATTAGGACATGCAAAAGGTGAACAAGATACATTGTTCTCATGAGTCAACTCAATAATCTTGGAAAAATTTGGTTTTTTCTTTCTCCAATGAATTACAAGAAGCACTTTTTGTGACCAGCATTTCATACCTCAACCTGAGAAACTAATATAGAAAGTTGAGTAATAGGTTGTAGCTAAAAGTCTTGATTTAGAAGCAGCATCAATTTTATAAGGGTGTAAAAAGTGAGAAACATGACTGGGAACCCCACTACTGTCTTACTCATTTTGTTCTATTTGTTTATCCATTTGTTACTCTACAGGTAGTTTATGTTGTTATGTTATACATTTCATTTCATATTTCAGTTGAAATTAATTTCTACACCTACCAATTTACATGTTAGCTTGATGCTCTAATGGTAGAAAGCTGACAGTGTTTCTCAGTATGCCACATACCCAATTGGCAATAGCCTGTTTCAAGTAAGGCAAACTGATGTATATCAAGCAAGTTGTTGGTAAGGGTCTCCGGCAATTGGGCACAAATGCCAGAGTACTGCTGGTACCCACCTCAAGTACCATTGCTACCCACAAGTAGGGTGCAGAATGGGCTGGGCTTGGGTCAACCCATCATAGTTGTTCTCTGTCCCAAGTAGCCCTTGAGTTGGGTTTTGGTCAGGAATATTGTCCCACTAGAAAACATTGTGTGTTGCATTGTA